GCATGCTAGTCGTTGGCTAACGGTCCCTGTCATTATCATAGCTGAAATATCAACCCTATTCATCACATAAGGAGCAAGTTTCACCCAGATAGCACTTTTAATTACTGTTTGGACAAAGTGGTAACATCTCGTTAGGGTTAGGATTAGGGTTAAGGCGAGTTTTGGGGGTTAGGGTTAGGGATACGGTCATAATTGGGATTAGGGTTAGATTTACGGCAGTATAAGGATTGTCATTTGGGTTAGGATTAAGGTTAGGACCAGTGTGAAATTTACGGCTAGGGTCAGGATTAAGGCTAGGGTTGAGATTAGGATTAGATTTGTCGTTTATTTCAACTTGTTATATTATCCTCATTTTCTTTGTATGTAGTCGCCAATGCTCTTACTAGAACCGTAGTAACTAAACCGGGGGCTTAGGAGAGGACTACACGACAAGAGAAGAGAGATGAATTATTCCCAAAACAGCACACCTTCAGTCACTTTGGTGAATACATCAACAGAGACTAGTAAAAATTAGCAACTGATACTCTTCATCGCAACTCGGACGTATTTTTAAGTCATCTCAGAGAAATAAAATCCGTTTAATGTGTTTCCATGCATTTTCTTGTGAATATACGTCATTTTTCGTGCGAAAATTCCTCATTTTTATGATTGGCTGCCTGAAGGTCACTCGTGCGTTCGCATCGCTTGGGACGCTATTGTTGAACTTTGCCCTAAATATTTAATACTATCTTCGAGAGACTTATTAAAAAGTCGCCTATGGAGTAAGAAAAGAATTCAGAAATAACACGCGAAAAAGTAACAAAGCCTTTGAATTGCGCAGTTTTTTTGGATCTAGTACATTAAGCAATAATAAGCGTAAGTAACACTTACCCTTAAGGGTTTAGTTTCTTTCAGTTCCCCAAAATACACACAAGCACAACAGATTCATAATTTTCATGCGGCTCAACCTCCTTTGACTTAGATTATCTCACAATATATGTCTTTCTAAATGATAGCAGACACACTGATGGTATATTCACATCCTCAAAAAGCTTCAAAGCTTCTTCAACTTAAACCCTGGTTCTTAATTCTCAGGGCTTATGTTCTTTGAAAATTTTGCTAATATCAACTTTGGTCGTGCTCTCCTCTCCAGATTTACTGGTAGATTGTTGCACGCTGTAGACATGAGCGTGGAAGACATTAGTTTTCCAGATTTCTACATGTTAAATACCCAAATGAGCCAGCAACAAAACCTGCAACCAACAAATGGACTGGAAATGACTGCTTCTGCCAGCCAAACATCTTCATGTGCATAATTTCCAAAACTTCTACACAGCACCAGTTCATTAACAGCTGAAAAACAACTAAAACACTAAAAGCCGCATTAATGCAAGGTATGAAACACTTACAACGAAATGAATGCACTGACCTGGTAGTGAAAACTTTGGAAACCGAAGAAATAAATCATTTAAACGGCAACGGAAACAAAAAATGAGGTGACACGCAACATTTGTGAACAATACGCAACAAGATAAGTCGTGAATAACTGCAGGATAAACGGAACAACAAACGCGTAGACGAACAGCTACGGAACTGCAATCTAACATGGCCGACTAACATGGATGAAAATGACCTTTGAGCGTCTCACTCCACCAATGACCTTGTAAGCTACGGATAACTGCAGTCCCATGATCCTTGATATGACACTGTCTATATCGCGGTACGTTCAACGTTTACGTTACATTTTTGCGCGATTCGTAACATAAAATTAATCTTGTTTTAAAACTTGCACAAGTACTATACTACTTCCATACCTGTAACCATTAACTCCCACTTCTAATAGTTAAGGTTAATCGAAGTAAAAAGCAACGAACACAATCTCCTATAAAACTGGTGACTAATTTAACGTTCCTGACGGCTACATCAAGCAACACACCCCTTACTAAAGGTTATAGTGAGCCACATAACCCACTTGTATGCCGTAGGCGTCCAGCTGGAACTGAGGATAAAACTGTAATGACAGCTAGTATTAGCACTACTCCTAAAAATTCAGTGCCCTCTGCTCATACAGAACTCCTTCCTTCACTTTATGTGCTTATCGAAAAACTTCAGCCATCAAGCTCTTTTTCAGTACTATCTTCAGAAATAGAACTTCTAAAGATGTCTATAGGAGAACTTAAGGCTGAGTTATTCGAAATAAAAAACAATAAGTTAGTAGACGCTGGAAACATTGAAACCAATACCGAGATATCCAAATTATCAGATCAGATCAGCGATATCAGATCGCAGGTCTGTGAACTGACACCTCTAACCATCCTCGTGAAAACTGTAAACCTTAACAAGCTTGACACAGAATCGGTAACTAAGGTGGATAACCTCATTAACTTGTTACCACAGAAGTAATAAAACGACTCGACTCAAAACTGAGTGCTATTGTCTACAACATTCCGGACAATGAGGCACTAAAAAAGGTACAGCGCATCTTACTTAGTGAGGCGAAAACGCCTAACTCCAAGACTAAGTGCTATAGGCTGAAGAAGAGTCAACATGAAAAGTGTTGTCCTATTCGTTTTCAGTTTGAAACACCGGCAGAGACCAGAAAATTCATCCACTCCCAACACACCCTATCGCAAGCCAGAAACTACAAACATACAAAGGTCGGGGTGGACAAAACAGTCATAGAAAGGCGCGCATACAATTATCTCCCTAAGACTAATTGTGAAATAGGTAATAGGACATTGCAAGCAGCCATTATTCCCAACCCTGTGAAAGATACAGTAGACCCCACCGCATCACCCCTCTCAAAACACACAGAAATATCCCATCAGAGTGCAACACCAGCCGAAAGGCCACTAGACTGTAACCAAATAAATAATAAAACCATACCACCCATCACCGCAGAATCTAAAATGCCACTAAATAGCCCCAGAAAAAAGTCAAAACCCCCCGAAATTCGACATTGTCCTCTCCTAGCCATGACTCCATTGGTAAAGATAAGGAAAATATGCCCCTAAATCATACCAACAAAAACAGTAGCAGCTTAAATGAGCCCACACTTCCCACGGTCAGTAGTATTAGCACTCACAACGTGCGAAATCGCACCATGGCATACACTAATATCCAATGTTACCCTCAATAGTACAGGTGGTAATAGTCAGAACTCGGCTACCAACAACTCAGGGTCTTCAGAGTATGGCACAGGAACAAATTTTGACCGGATATATGGTTCAAGTCTGCTGGGAACTAACCCACAATGCAGTACACACGAAACCCACACAAGGGCACAACTAGCATCAAACAAAAGGTGGAATAATAAGCCATGGTCATCACAAGGATCCAATCAATTTTTATCCCCCGCGTCCCTGTCAGCGTTGAAAAAACAGCTGGTAGGGATGTTAACACTCCTAAACCACTAGTGCTGCCTCCCTCCTTACAGGAACGGTCTAGTGCACCCGTATCCATTAAGCACACTTGACACTTTCACAAGTAAAGGTCAAATAAAGAACCCTACTCACTTCTGTAGCCTAACTAAAAATAAAAATTCCTCAGTATATAGCAAATCCAGTACTCCAACTCCTAATTCTTCACCGAAAACAGCACACACCAACTCGATAGACATAGGTGAGCGTGATGCTGAAACCCCTCTTAACATTGGATCGTCATGTCAAGCAGAACTACTGGGTGCTGAACCACATTCGGGGCTGACTAACGAACTTAAATACTTCGAATGCTACTTCAACTCTTATCTTTACCTAATCCTCATAAATGCTAGATCTGTTCTAAATGAATTGCCGATGCTCAGAGCACTCACAGTAATATACAAACCCCCTGCAATTGTCACCACTGAATCTTGGTGTCTAAGCTTAGATAACTATACACACTTTTGGTGTGACAGGGAAGGTGGTAAGGGAGGGGGTTGTCTCATGTACTTTCTGAATGCACTTACTGTATCACAGCTAGAAAGTAGTACACTCAACACGCCTGAGACTCTATGGGTTAATGTACACTTAAATAACGTAACAGCATTAATTGGATGCTCCTACAGAGCACCTGGCACCTTTAGTAATTACGAGACCCAACTTATTAATACTCTGGAGCAATTATCCGACTTACAATATGATCAAAAGATCCTATGTGGGGACTTAAACTTACCTGAAATCAACTGGGATATACCCACAGGCCCAACTAAATTTGAAAAGTTCCTAGACACACTGGATATACTTGGCTGGAAACAAACTGTCACTACTCCCACAAGAGGTAATAATGTACTAAACTTAATCCTCTGCCACAATATAAGCCCCCTTTCAACGCTAGTAGGTTCTGAGTTTCCAGGGAGCGACCACAAAACAGTGATGTGTGCACTGCCAATCCCGCTGAGTAGCAATGTATCTCAAACCTCCACTTCACAACAAGTAAAATATGGGAACTATGGTAAGGCAAACTGGGCCTTAGTTGAATTGATGCTAAGATCCTCCAAATGGGATGAATACTTCACCACTGATGACCTATCGACAGCTCTAACCATCTTCTACCATAACTCCAACACATGCTTAGATGCTGTCATTCCACTCCAAACACTAAAGGTTTCCCCACACAGAAAGTCATTCATAAAACCAAAGGATCGTACGAAACTGAAGAGACTCTCAACAAGTTACTTCAAACACCACGACTTTGGCACTCTAGGTCTAATACTTAACACCCTTAGCTCCGTCTCACAAGCTCGAAATTTCCGTATGAGAAACGAAGAACGCATCGCAGTAGCCAGTCCTGCTTGAGTGTATGCACTCAAAGAAATCTTAAGAAAGCGAATGAATCGCAAAACTCACAGCATTTCTCTCCTCATAGACAAAGGTAGGCTATGCGCTAACTCTGCAGACATATGTGAACTATTCAACAAAACGTTTGCAGGTAACTACCTTAAGCCCTCAGTCCAGCTACTCGAATGAATTTACCAAGAAAGGAATGATGATTCGGAGAAGAGTCAAAATGACTCTGCCTACCAAACTTCAGACAGTAAACATATGAATAGTAATGATGTCAGTGATGTGAAGGGACGCTGGGATGAAGATGATTCTACACGAGATTCTCAAGATACTTTTGAGACTACATTAGAATTCTCCTCATTCAATCGTACGAAATGGAGTCTACTCGTCAACTGTCATTGTAAACATAGTATTGATGATCCTGAAAAGTTGAGCAGTTTTACTGAAGTAACAAGCGATGTTAATTTCTCTAAATGGAGTGACGGTGAATCATCGAATGTTATCAGCTGTAATGAGAGTGATGGAATGCTACAGTCGGATTCAATAGGAAACTTCACGTCGATTAAATCAGGTTGGCTTTTTCTTCTGAAAATAAATTTTTTTCAAAAATATTTTTTCGCAAAGTCTTTACTTTTCTGCAACGGTGGCACAGCGGTTAAGACGCACGCTGACCATGCACATGGTCCGGGGTTAGACCCCCGGCTGTAGACGCAGTCCTTTACCTCGCTAAGCCAGAAATAATGCTGGTAAAGAGGAAAGGCTGGTCATGAGGCTAGCAACCCCATCCTGTAAAAATAAACACTGCTATAGAAACTTCAAGCCACTAGCTTGAAGCCCTATGTTCCACTGGGGAACGTGCAGAAAAAAAGTCTTTATTAACAAGGTTGAAATGTATTCACATTAGTGTTGTAACAGCGGAGGATTTGTAATGTTTCTGTTTGTTTCTCACTTGACACTAGAATAAGCCTTCAGTCATGATGCTCGCTGTAGCCAACTAATCACTTAGAATTATTTCCCCCAAACTGATTTCTTTTTTAATCCTTTAGGTTCCCAGTGGAACAGACTTCAAGTTTCCATAGTAGTGGTGTTTAGTTTTACAGGATGGGGTTTCTAGCCTCATGTCCGACCTTCCCTCTTTACCAGTCTTATTACTAGCTGAGGGAGGTAAAGGAGTGCATCTCTGGTCGGGGATCGAACCCAGGACCACCTGTGTGGTCGGCGAGCACTCTACTGCTGTGTTACAGACACACACACTGAGTAGACACATAGAATTCGGATTTAATTGAGAAAACTGCGGCAACACTAACAACCTTTTATTCACAATCCACAGTAAATTATCCTGTACCAATCAGCAGAAATTTAAACCATGGATAATTAATGACTATCTGATTGATTGTACCAGTCATAATTTTACGGCTAACACTGAAAGTCAGTCAGTCCCAGCATCTTCCCTCTTTCAATAGATTTTCAGCTGGAGGACCACTACTGGAAGATATTCGTGGGTCTGAGTACTCTCTGCCTATGATCTATAAATAGTTTTGGATATTTTCTAGATGTATGGCCGACTTCACCAGAAAAAAGTAAAGAAGTCGTTACATTGTTCGTTGATCAGAATTAGGCATTTTCAGTGGATACTGATTACTGATGCATATTCCCCGAACACTTTACGAGAAATTCAGATCGTTTCATCAGAATCATGATGGTGAAAAAGTATTTTCCAACAGGTTGGTTCAACTAACCGAATGAATGCCGAATAGATTCTAGTCATGACGTTTTGTAAGATGACGTAAATCTTCCCAATTATTTGAAAAGAATATGACATCTTGACAGATTTCACCAACTAAGTTCGAAATATCTCCAGAAGTATTTTTAACAACATGAAAAGTAATGGAAACTGTAGGGAGAGTTCTTTTCCCTCTCATCTGAGAGGTAAGAAACTGGAGTGAAAATCTCTTCGCACTTGAAGTGGTCATATCTCCTGGTTTTGCACAAATAGTGCCTTCACACTAGATTTCGATGCATCACTGGAATACAGATTCTCGTTCTGACTGTTTTAACACCAGTATTCAAAGATTCCTTGAAACACAACTGTGCAAATAATGTATCAGTTGATAAATTACCCTGTGCTTCTATGGCTGAATGAATGACAGAATCAATAATATCAGTATGCTCATGACTAGATAACTGCAAATACAATTTACTAGTAAGCAGCACTTCACATAGTTTCACTTGTAAGTCTGTTGTTACAGTAACTTGACTGGCTCAGAACTGGAGGACATGATTTAAAAACATCTTGCTGAAAATTAATGACCTGATATTCTTCTGAATTGTATACCACGTCGCCAAATGTATTATGACGACGATGATTTGAATACCCCGTTGCCAGTTTTAGTGGTTTGATGGTTGTTGTCTATCTTGACTACAATGCACCTCTAGACAACTGATTATTTGAAGGTATTCCCCCACACTGAGAAGACGTACAGAAGTTAGATTTAACTATCATAACAACAACCTTGATGATTGCATCAATCATCATTTTCCGGCCAACAAGTATAGTTATTCTTACTATTCCTTTGCGTTCCAAGTAGAATATAGGGCTTCTACAACACAGCTCTACTTTGTTCTATTTTCTGCTGTCCTCTTCAGCTGGTCAGCCACACGATTGCCCCTTGAATCTGCCATCTGCTCCCCTAACTCACACAATCTATAGGCCACCCTTGCACCGACGACCCACTCGTCGCTTCCCATAAGGATTCCACTCTACCAATGGCCTGCACTAAGCTCGATGTCATTCGATGGCCTCCTTAATGGTGTATGCCCGATCCACCTCCATTTTCTCTAGCATATTTAGTTAAGCGTTAGGTTCTTGGCTGGTTTTTTCCACTCCAGAGTTTCTTGTTACTTATTCTTTCTCGCCATTTGATCTCCAGTATGGAGCCAGTGAAGGCATCAGCTGTTGATAAAAGTCTGCAGTGGCCTGTTAGAAATTTTTGTTCGTGACATTCTGGCCAATGTTCTAACTCGTATAGAAGAACTGATTTCACATTTGTGTTGAAAATCTGCATCTTGTTCTAATTAGTTCATCCTAACAGAAATAGACTGTTCTCATTGTTTAAATCTACTCTAACTGTAGTACTACAATTCTTAGTATGACTAAACTTTATCTGCTGATTTGTAAATGTCATCGTTTTGGAAATAAAAAGGTAACGAACGTATATAGAATTCAGATCATCAGAGAAAAATAAACTAAAAAAAGAGTTTGGCAACACACAATTAAATTCAGTGGTTAAGTTTATAAAAATTTTGTATGACATGATGAGTGGATGTCAGAGTGACAAAGTAAAGTAACAATTTAGAACTTTACAACATTGGAAAAGAATGCTTAATGTAGCCTTGAGTGAATTGATTTTTAGTGAAGATGACATTATATCTACTTAAGGATAAGTGATATTAAATACCCAGATCTCAGCCTATCGCTGGTTTCAGAAGAGTACGCCTAACGCGCCGAATATTATACGCGCAGTAACCGACACGGAAGGATAATACAATTGCGTATTCCTCCACCAATTACAAAAAAGGACGACACGTTACTGTGTGCAAAGTCTGTCAATAAACGTCAATAAAATATACAGTGTGCAATTCTTCTTATTGTATTTCTCCGGTCCTGCGGTAACCAAACATACGATTAAGCCACTGGTCGCTACCGTTATCTCCCGTTCAGTGAAGTTCAGTTCGAAGAAACAAACCATTGAGTATTCATCAACACTGACAACTGCCTTTCAAGCATTTCTTTGTAAACTGGAATTTCAACTTAAATGTGAAAGTTTTGTCAGTCAATCGGATGAGGGATACTGAAAGTGTTATTGACTTTGTGCCTTTCTCGACGGGCAATGTTAGCTGACATTGGGTCAGGTTGGGAAAGATCCAATGGTAGTAGTCAAACCAAAACATAGCTTCACTAGTCAGTGAAATCCACAACATTTAGTTTAAGTCAACTACACAGGAGGAAGGTGTAGACTTCCTGACTGGTTGAGGTTCTCCGGATGGTAAAATCCGGTGACTGGAGACACTTCATGACATGAGTCGAAATGGTTGTCAGTTAATGGTGTATATATATATATATATATATATATATATATATACTTGCTCCTTGAGATATTTCGGATCGTGGCAAATACCCATCAGGACGTTAGAAGGAAAAGAACAAGAAGTTCAGCAAACTGAAATCTTCTTTACGGCAATCCCAGTCAGTCGCATTTATATACTTAAGTCTACATAGATTCAATCATTCTTGTTTAATTCTACATAACAGAGAAGAAGAAGGGAGTTAAAGATGTGCTAATAATCGTTAACTTGAATGCAAAGTTTGAGAGTGTGAGCTTCTGCAGTACGAAGAAGACAGAAACACACTTCTTCTAGTAGATTTCCGTTTACTTTGTAAGTGACTGAATGATGGATGAGTCAGTTGAGATACTGTGACAGGTGTTGACAAGGCCTTCAGTTATGGCGATTTTGATGAACCAGTGCCTCCTCTCCACTACAGCCATGCTGAATAATTTTCTCTAATACGTTTTAATAGGACCCTCACAAAACGACTTATGTATCTAGCTGTTCACGAGCAACTATTTTCTCATCCCCTTGTAATCGATATTCGGACCCTTGAACTTACACATCACGTTGAAATTAATATCACACCTATAACCTCCTTCTCCGTTATTATAAGAAATTAAATAATAATAATCACAAAAAAACTTGGAGGATCTGGACTTCGCCGATGATGATATATGTCTGATTTCCCACAAACTGGAAGATATGCGAGTGAAAAGCAACAAGTTGGCAGAAGAAGGATCAAAGATAGGACTACAGGTGAACATAGAGAAAACAGAGGTGATGAAGATTCTTGGCCAACAGCAACAACGACAGACAACAATCAGCCAGCGTGAATGGGAGAAACCTGAAAGAAACAACCTCCTTCACCTACCTGGGAAGCATCGTTTCAACTACAGGCGAAACTGACGAGGATATCAAAGCAAGAATCGGGAAAGCAAGGCAAGCTTTCATTACTCTCAAGTCTGTGTAGAGTTCAACAGCGCTCACCATGAAAAATGACATCCGGATTTTCAAGTTCAATGTGAAGTTAGTGCTACTCACTATACGGATCAGAGACTTGCACTGCGCGTCATAAAGAACATCTCAAACAAACTACATACCTTCATCAACAGCTAGCTGCCTTCTCCCAAAACTCAAGATCAGATGGCCGGCCAGAAAAGATCAGCAACAGGGATCTCTGGCAATGAGCGAAGCAACCAGGAACCGATTGTACAACAAATAGGCAGGAAGAAATGGAGATGGATTGGCTGGTCATACTCTGCGGAAACCATCAAGTGACATCACTAGACAAGCCACTGTTCGAGTGTGACCCGAAAGGGAAGCGGCGAGTTGATCGTCAGTTCGAGGGTTACTTGGAGGTCATGTGAAGAGAAGATGAAAGCGTGTGGGCAGACTTGGAGCCAGGTGAAAACTCTAGCAGAAAACCGAACGCAATAGAGACGCCAGATTGAAGCCCTGTGTTCCTCTAGGAATTAAAGGAAATAATAATCATGATTATATCTGTGTAAACTTATGTATATAAGTGTGACTGTACAGCTGCGCTTTTGAGAATTAAATCGCCGAAAATATCAACAACTTTTCTGTTGAACTTCATGTTCTCTTCTCTCTAATATTTTTACTTCATTAAACTCTCGTCATTCTTCATATGTGATTTATTTTGATTTTTGACAACATTAACGTTTATGTTAATTTCTTTACACTTCTCTGCTTGATAGATGAAATTCAACCAGAAGATTTCATAAAACCTGTGGAGCTCAAGGAAAGATATGAAGAGTTGATTGAATGCATAGACTGTCATCAGCCGGCTATACATCAGATAGACGGGGAGTTGAATACAATCAGTCAGAATTTAGCCTTGATTGCTAGCAAATTGAATGATCCTGACTGTGATGCTCATCTAACTGGCACGAGTTTATCAACTACTGGTGCACTCTTTAAACAGATACTTGGATTAGAAGAGATCGAGTTAGAAATTAGACAAACTGACGAAAATCTGTGTGAAATAAAGTTTAATCCGCTGTTCACTACAGACTCCTGTCAGACAGAAGGAATTCAGAAGAGACTGGAGTCCACTGAAGGTGAACTAATCGATATGCAATTTGCTATAGATAACAAGCTAAAGCATTTGAAGCAATTCCATCAGAGATTAGATGAATTCACAGAATCTATTAAAACCCAATTGGTATGGATAAGAGAACAAGAAAGTGAATTGGAACAATACACCATAAGGCATAATAATAACGAATCCGAAGCTTTGGAGAAAGAACTCAATGACTTTTATAATAAGCATATAAAAGTCATTGAGTTCTTTCTCCAAAGCTTCGGATTCGTTATTATTATGCCTTATGGTGTATTGTTCCAATTCACTTTCTTGTTCTCTTATCCATACCAATTGGGTTTTAATAGATTCTGTGAATTCATCTAATCTCTGATGGAATTGCTTCAAATGCTTTAGCTTGTTATCTATAGCAAATTGCATATCGATTAGTTCACCTTCAGTGGACTCCAGTCTCTTCTGAATTCCTTCTGTCTGACAGGAGTCTGTAGTGAACAGCGGATTAAACTTTATTTCACACAGATTTTCGTCAGTTTGTCTAATTTCTAACTCGATCTCTTCTAATCCAAGTATCTGTTTAAAGAGTGCACCAGTAGTTGATAAACTCGTGCCAGTTAGATGAGCATCACAGTCAGGATCATTCAATTTGCTAGCAATCAAGGCTAAATTCTGACTGATTGTATTCAACTCCCCGTCTATCTGATGTATAGCCGGCTGATGACAGTCTATGCATTCAATCAACTCTTCATATCTTTCCTTGAGCTCCACAGGTTTTATGAAATCTTCTGGTTGAATTTCATCTATCAAGCAGAGAAGTGTAAAGAAATTAACATAAACGTTAATGTTGTCAAAAATCAAAATAAATCACATATGAAGAATGACGAGAGTTTAATGAACTAAAAATATTAGAGAGAAGAGAACATGAAGTTCAACAGAAAAGTTGTTGATATTTTCGGCGATTTAATTCTCAAAAGCGCAGCTGTACAGTCACACTTATATACATAAGTTTACACAGATATAATCATGATTATTATTTCCTTTAATTCCTAGAGGAACACAGGGCTTCAATCTGGCGTCTCTATTGCGTTCGGTTTTCTGCTAGAGTTTTCACCTGGCTCCAAGTCTGCCCACACGCTTTCATCTTCTCTTCACATGACCTCCAAGTAACCCTCGAACTGACGATCAACTCGCCGCTTCCCTTTCGGGTCACACTCGAACAGTGGCTTGTCTAGTGATGTCACTTGATGGTTTCCGCAGAGTATGACCAGCCAATCCATCTCCATTTCTTCCTGCCTATTTGTTGTACAATCGGTTCCTGGTTGCTTCGCTCATTGCCAGAGATCCCTGTTGCTGATCTTTTCTGGCCGGCCATCTGATCTTGAGTTTTGGGAGAAGGCAGCTAGCTGTTGATGAAGGTATGTAGTTTGTTTGAGATGTTCTTTATGACGCGCAGTGCAAGTCTCTGATCCGTATAGTGAGTAGCACTAACTTCACATTGAACTTGAAAATCCGGATGTCATTTTTCATGGTGAGCGCTGTTGAACTCTACACAGACTTGAGAGTAATGAAAGCTTGCCTTGCTTTCCCGATTCTTGCTTTGATATCCTCGTCAGTTTCGCCTGTAGTTGAAACGATGCTTCCCAGGTAGGTGAAGGAGGTTGTTTCTTTCAGGTTTCTCCCATTCACGCTGGCTGATTGTTGTCTGTCGTTGTTGCTGTTGGCCAAGAATCTTCATCACCTCTGTTTTCTCTATGTTCACCTGTAGTCCTATCTTTGATCCTTCTTCTGCCAACTTGTTGCTTTTCACTCGCATATCTTCCAGTTTGTGGGAAATCAGACATATATCATCATCGGCGAAGTCCAGATCCTCCAAGTTTTTTTGTGATTATTATTATTTAATTTCTTATAATAACGGAGAAGGAGGTTATAGGTGTGATATTAATTTCAACGTGATGTGTAAGTTCAAGGGTCCGAATATCGATTACAAGGGGATGAGAAAATAGTTGCTCGTGAACAGCTAGATACATAAGTCGTTTTGTGAGGGTCCTATTAAAACGTATTAGAGAAAATTATTCAGCATGGCTGTAGTGGAGAGGAGGCACTGGTTCATCAAAATCGCCATAACTGAAGGCCTTGTCAACACCTGTCACAGTATCTCAACTGACTCATCCATCATTCAGTCACTTACAAAGTAAACGGAAATCTACTAGAAGAAGTGTGTTTCTGTCTTCTTCGTACTGCAGAAGCTCACACTCTCAAACTTTGCATTCAAGTTAACGATTATTAGCACATCTTTAACTCCCTTCTTCTTCTCTGTTATGTAGAATTAAACAAGAATGATTGAATCTATGTAGACTTAAGTATATAAATGCGACTGACTGGGATTGCCGTAAAGAAGATTTCAGTTTGCTGAACTTCTTGTTCTTTTCCTTCTAACGTCCTGATGGGTATTTGCCACGATCCGAAATATCTCAAGGAGCAAGTATATATATATATATATATATATATATGTATCTACACCATTAACTGACAACCATTTTGACTCATGTCATGAAGTGTCTCCAGTCACCGGATTTTACCATCCGGAGAACCTCAACCAGTCAGGAAGTCTACACCTTCCTCCTGTGTAGTTGACTTAAACTAAATGTTGTGGATTTCACTGACTAGTGAAGCTATGTTTTGGTTTGACTACTACCATTGGATCTTTCCCAACCTGACCCAATGTCAGCTAACATTGCCCGTCGAGGAAGGCACAAAGTCAATAACACTTTCAGTATCCCTCATCCGATTGACTGACAAAACTTTCACATTTAAGTTGAAATTCCAGTTTACAAAGAAATGCTTGAAAGGCAGTTGTCAGTGTTGATGAATACTCAATGGTTTGTTTCTTCGAACTGAACTTCACTGAACGGGAGATAACGGTAGCGACCAGTGGCTTAATCGTATGTTTGGTTACCGCAGGACCGGAGAAATACAATAAGAAGAATTGCACACTGTATATTTTATTGACGTTTATTGACAGACTTTGCACACAGTAACGTGTCGTCCTTTTTTGTAATTGGTGGAGGAATACGCAATTGTATTATCCTTCCGTGTCGGTTACTGCGCGTATAATATTCGGCGCGTTAGGCGTACTCTTCTGAAACCAGCGATAGGCTGAGATCTGGGTATTTAACATCACTTATCCTTAAGTAGATATAATGTCATCTTCACTAAAAATCAATTCACTCAAGGCTACATTAAGCATTCTTTTCCAATGTTGTAAAGTTCTAAATTGTTACTTTACTTTGTCACTCTGACATCCACTCATCATGTCATACAAAATTTTTATAAACTTAACCACTGAATTTAATTGTGTGTTGCCAAACTCTTTTTTTAGTTTATTTTTCTCTGATGATCTGAATTCTATATACGTTCGTTACCTTTTTATTTCCAAAACGATGACATTTACAAATCAGCAGATAAAGTTTAGTCATACTAAGAATTGTAGTACTACAGTTAGAGTAGATTTAAACAATGAGAACAGTCTATTTCTGTTAGGATGAACTAATTAGAACAAGATGCAGATTTTCAACACAAATGTGAAATCAGTTCTTCTATACGAGTTAGAACATTGGCCAGAATGTCACGAACAAAAATTTCTAACAGGCCACTGCAGACTTTTATCAACAGCTGATGCCTTCACTGGCTCCATACTGGAGATCAAATGGCGAGAAAGAATAAGTAACAAGAAACTCTGGAGTGGAAAAAACCAGCCAAGAACCTAACGCTTAACTAAATATGCTAGAGAAAATGGAGGTGGATCGGGCATACACCATTAAGGAGGCCATCGAATGACATCGAGCTTAGTGCAGGCCATTGGTAGAGTGGAATCCTTATGGGAAGCGACGAGTGGGTCGTCGGTGCAAGGGTGGCCTATAGATTGTGTGAGTTAGGGGAGCAGATGGCAGATTCAAGGGGCAATCGTGTGGCTGACCAGCTGAAGAGGACAGCAGAAAATAGAACAAAGTAGAGCTGTGTTGTAGAAGCCCTATATTCTACTTGGAACGCAAAGGAATAGTAAGAATAACTATACTTGTTGGCCGGAAAATGATGATTGATGCAATCATCAAGGTTGTTGTTATGATAGTTAAATCTAACTTCTGTACGTCTTCTCAGTGTGGGGGAATACCTTCAAATAATCAGTTGTCTAGAGGTGCATTGTAGTCAAGATAGACAACAACCATCAAACCACTAAAACTGGCAACGGGGTATTCAAATCATCGTCGTCATAATACATTTGGCGACGTGGTATACAATTCAGAAGAATATCAGGTCATTAATTTTCAGCAAGATGTTTTTAAATCATGTCCTCCAGTTCTGAGCCAGTCAAGTTACTGTAACAACAGACTTACAAGTGAAACTATGTGAAGTGCTGCTTACTAGTAAATTGTATTTGCAGTTATCTAGTCATGAGCATACTGATATTATTGATTCTGTCATTCATTCAGCCATAGAAGCACAGGGTAATTTATCAACTGATACATTATTTGCACAGTTGTGTTTCAAGGAATCTTTGAATACTGGTGTTAAAACAGTCAGAACGAGAATCTGTATTCCAGTGATGCATCGAAATCTAGTGTGAAGGCACTATTTGTGCAAAACCAGGAGATATGACCACTTCAAGTGCGAAGAGATTTTCACTCCAGTTTCTTACCTCTCAGATGAGAGGGAAAAGAACTCTCCCTACAGTTTCCATTACTTTTCATGTTGTTAAAAATACTTCTGGAGATATTTCGAACTTAGTTGGTGAAATCTGTCAAGATGTCATATTCTTTTCAAATAATTGGGAAGATTTACGTCATCTTACAAAACGTCATGACTAGAATCTATTCGGCATTCATTCGGTTAGTTGAACCAACCTGTTGGAAAATACTTTTTCACCATCATGATTCTGATGAAACGATCTGAATTTCTCGTAAAGTGTTCGGGGAATATGCATCAGTAATCAGTATCCACTGAAAATGCCTAATTCTGATCAACGAACAATGTAACGACTTCTTTACTTTTTTCTGGTGAAGTCGGCCATACATCTAGAAAATATCCAAAACTATTTATAGATCATAGGCAGAGAGTACTCAGACCCACGAATATCTTCCAGTAGTGGTCCTCCAGCTGAAAATCTATTGAAAGAGGGAAGATGCTGGGACTGACTGACTTTCAGTGTTAGCCGTAAAATTATGACTGGTACAATCAATCAGATAGTCATTAATTATCCATGGTTTAAATTTCTGCTGATTGGTACAGGATAATTTACTGTGGATTGTGAATAAAAGGTTGTTAGTGTTGCCTCAGTTTTCTCAATTAAATCCGAATTCTATGTGTCTACTCAGTGTGTGTGTCTGTAACACAGCAGTAGAGTGCTCGCCGACCACACAGGTGGTCCTGGGTTCGATCCCCGACCAGAGATGCACTCCTTTACCTCCCTCAGCTAGTAATAAGACTGGTAAAGAGGGAAGGTCGGACATGAGGCTAGAAACCCCATCCTGTAAAACTAAACACCACTACTATGGAAACTTGAAGTCTGTTCCACTGGGAACCTAAAGGATTAAAAAAGAAATCAGTTTGGGGGAAATAATTCTAAGTGATTAGTTGGCTACAGCGAGCATCATGACTGAAGGCTTATTCTAGTGTCAAGTGAGAAACAAACAGAAACATTACAAATCCTCCGCTGTTACAACACTAATGTGAATACATTTCAACCTTGTTAATAAAGACTTTTTTTCTGCACGTTCCCCAGTGGAACATAGGGCTTCAAGCTAGTGGCTTGAAGTTTCTATAGCAGTGTTTATTTTTACAGGATGGGGTTGCTAGCCTCATGACCAGCCTTTCCTCTTTACCAGCATTATTTCTGGCTTAGCGAGGTAAAGGACTGCGTCTACAGCCGGGGGTCTAACCCCGGACCATGTGCATGGTCAGCGTGCGTCTTAACCGCTGTGCCACCGTTGCAGAAAAGTAAAGACTTTGCGAAAAAATATTTTTGAAAAAAATTTATTTTCAGAAGAAAAAGCCAACCTGATTTAATCGACGTGAAGTTTCCTATTGAATCCGACTGTAGCATTCCATCACTCTCATTACAGCTGATAACATTCGATGATTCACCGTCACTCCATTTAGAGAAATTAACATCGCTTGTTACTTCAGTAAAACTGCTCAACTTTTCAGGATCATCAATACTATGTTTACAATGACAGTTGACGAGTAGACTCCATTTCGTACGATTGAATGAGGAGAATTCTAATGTAGTCTCAAAAGTATCTTGAGAATCTCGTGTAGAATCATCTTCATCCCAGCGTCCCTTCACATCACTGACATCATTACTATTCATATGTTTACTGTCTGAAGTTTGGTAGGCAGAGTCATTTTGACTCTTCTCCGAATCATCATTCCTTTCTTGGTAAATACAAAACGTATCCAACACCATTGTAATGTGATCATCAACAAGCCTGGTGTTCTCATTGGCCAGATCAATTGGAACTATGTGTTGTTGAAGGCTGTAACAACGACAAAAATGCAAAAAAAAAATCACAATGAGCTGGTTGTAAACATATTGATCAATATTGTCTACACAATCCATGTCAAGTCTTTTTATAATAGTTCTAGTAAATAATCGTCATTTTTGAACATTTATGCAAACCTGGTGTATTTAAAAACACAATAATGATTCCCAAACGCTTCAAATAGACATACTGTGGTGTGTACTACTGACAAGATTTGCCATCAGTAGTATATAGACACAGATTGATAGGAAGTAGTCAAAACTGAAAACAACTGACATTTTATGACAGTGGCTGCAGAAGTAGGAAGAAGCATTTACCTCTCAAATCTGGACCAATCTAAAGAATCTAAAGGCATGACCTTCAGAATATCAGCGACCAATCAGAACGGTTTACTATCATCTATTGACCTAGCTTATCATAAATGGAGCTAAAAATGTATAATTATGGTGTGGTTTTCCTTAATGAATATGCTCCGTAACCAAGTTTTATTTTGCCTTCTTCCGTTACGATACCACTTGGTAGTTGAGAGTCAAATGAGCAAAACTATATACTACGGATTCAGTGAAACGATTAGTTGCACACCACTCACATCATCGACCAGCAGTGCTAATTAGCCAACAATATCGAAGTGATCTAAATACCAGATGGCTGTCTGCATCACTTATTCACGGATGAACTCATCACTGGTGTACCTAGTTTTACTTCACTGAAAGCGATAACCGAATATCGGACTATCTAACTGGTAACACTTTCAATGAAATTCGAGGCTGATGGAATTTCACTTCATCATTTTCTTATGGTTTCCAAAAGAAAAACCAGACCACACATCATGATCTGCTTCATACCGTAAATATTAGTCAAAGAAGTAAGCGTAGACATACAGGCACACTATTGATTTACATGAGCCTTAAGCGACTACTCGTCTCAATCAATAAGTAATATTTGTTTTTCTGGATTTATTCTCGCCTCCCTGATTACCATTTATGGTGTCAAGCAGATGACACACTGCAGTGATTTGAGTAGTTCTGGTTTCCAAAGGAAACTGTATGGTGAAATTCCCCACACCCCTAAGACGGTGTAAATTGCACTCTGAGCTTCAGAGAGAGATTTCTGTCTGTCTGTTTGTTTTCGTCATAGAACTTTGCACAAATGTGCGGAAGTTCAAGTCGCCACATGCCGTGTAGCACGCGAAGCAAGAGAAGAAAGTACAAGAAAAGCATAATAGAAACAGTGAGCAGAGGTGTGAGACAAAGGAGTAATAAAGAAATACAAAACAGTTTCATTGAAGATCATAAGTCACAGGGAGTGGATGCATCTGCGCCACTGAGAACGGTTTTGAGCCATGTCACCAATTGTTTCCAACCATAGATTTTTACCGTCCCGAGGACCCCAGCCAAGTTTTTGTTTGACCGCCGCTAGCTTTTTTCCAGTCTGACCCTATATCCGCTAACATAGCTCGTCGAGGGAGGCGATGGCTTGGCATACGTAACACATGTCCTAACCATCTCAGTCTTTGTAGCTTCACGACTTCGTCGATTGATTTCCCCTGTTTACCTAGAACTCTACGCCTAACCTCAATGTTGCTCACCTTATTATGCCACTTTACACGGGAAATAGAGCGCAGGCACCTATGATCAAAGACAACCAGCTCAGCTTTTCATGTCTTCCACTCTCAGTGGCCAGGTCTGCCCACAGCCATAAAGGAGGACGGAGCGGACTGATGAGCAGTACACCCGCCCTTTGGTCGATAGTCGAACATCTCGTCTACGCCAGAGTCGGCGTAAACTGGCAAATGCGAAACGAGCCCCCTGTATCCGTGCTGAGATTTCGTCAGAGATCAGCCCGTTGGCACTGGCTGATGGTACTTCCCAAATAAGTGAAGCGGTCAACGTGCTCTACCACTTCACTTCCTATTTTTAAACTAGGCGTCGATGTAGTCCAGTCCTGTAACATCATCTTGCATTTGGCGGGAGCGAATCGCATGCCAAACATTCGTAGATTGCGGCTCAAGGTGTTTAGAAGACTCTGCATTTCGTCAGCGTCTTCGCCTAGAAGGACTATATCGTCTGCATATTCCAAGTCAACGAGATTATTCCCAGGTAGCAAGTCAATCCCTGAGTCACTGAAGTCACTTAAGGTTAGGTCCATTAACACATCTATGATGAAGTTGAATAGAAAAGGGGATAATGGGCATCCTTGACGGACACCACTAGTCGTCATCAGTTCAGATGACAGCTCGCCGTAAGCCCTCACCTGGCTGTATGAGTACGAGTAGAGTGCCTTAATCAGTGCAATATATTTTCTTGGAATTCCCTTTACATCCAAGCATCTCCAGAGAACTTCTCGATCGACAGAGTCGAATGCTGCCTTTAGGTCAAGAAATATAATGACTGTTGGATGCCGGTAGGAATGCCTATGTTCTAGAATCTGTCGGAGGGTGAAGATATGATCAATACCTCTGGAGTCATTCCATCAGGTCCCGCTGCTTTGCCTAGTTTCAGATTGGTGACAGCTTTAGTAACCTCAGTTAGTGACGGAGGACCTGTGTTTATATCCCATTCAGGGAGGTGTTGGATGCTTGGAAGGTTGAGCGTGGCTGTGGACAAATTAAACTGCTCCTCATAATGCTCTTTCCAACGATCCAGTCGTCTATCCTGGGAGCTAATTATAGTGCCATTTTTTTCCGAGATTGTCTCACTGATGATCTGTCTTCTCCCACCCGTTTCCCTGATGAGTCCAAAGAGTTGCCTGGTGTTGCCTATCCTCGAAGCTTTCTCCATCTCTTTGGCTTTTGTCGCCCACCACTGTTCACGGTCCTTGCGGAGACTTTTCGTAAGTTTCCTTTTGTGCAGCTTTCGCTCCTCATTGAATTCGGAGCTCGCCGGAATAAGTTTTCTAGCATCTATCAGTTCGGATGAGGCGGTGGAGATCCAGTGGTTTTTACTCACCTTTGAATTTACCTTATTCACAGCTTTTACAGCTGTATCTATGGCTGCCTGGATATTTTTCCAAGCTTCTTCAGGGTGAGCACAGCTGTCGAACACAGATATGTGTTTAGCTAGTTCTTCCTCAAATACGGATTTAGTTTCCTAATCGAGCTGGGGACGTGATGGTTTTACCGCCAGCTGTTTCCTACGTCCGTTCAGTCGTAAGCACACCCGAGCGCGACCAGTGCATGGTCGGTATCTACACACGTGTTCCAGAAGGAGCGACAATCTCCTACCGACCCACGCCAACGATAGCTTATTGCTATGTGGTTTATTTGTGTCCAGCGTTGATTTGATGATGGGGGTCGCCAGGTTAAACAGTGTCTCTCCTTGTGTTTAAAGTTAGTGCTTACGAGAAACAAATGATTATCAGAGCAGAACTGTAGGAGACGGTCACCGTTGTCGGTTTGCTGGCACGGGACTCCATAGGTGCCACCGACATCCTTCTCAGATTGACACAATTTCCCTACTTGAGCATTAAAGTCACCAGCTAGAACGACTATGTCTGAGCGTTTAGCCTTTCCCACCAAACTAGACAGCTTTTGGTAGAACTCATCCTTCGTTTCATCTGAACTGCAGTCAGTGGGGGCGTAGGCGGAGATTACGAAAAGGCATCGGCGAGTAGTGCAGTCCTTCCTCATTCTTACTGACCCGTTCAGGCGAACAGCACACATTCGGCTATCTACCGGGATCCAGTCAAGCAATGTCTTTTCTGCCCTAGTACTCAAAGCTATCCCTACGCCAGCTAATCCTCGTGAACTAGCTGTGGCATCTCCTGACACCCTCAAGGTGAATTTTGCAGATTCAACCTGTTGGCCAGGTGGGGTTAGGTGAATAACCACACTTGGGTCTTGTATGCGTGTTTCTGAAACACAGCATACATCAATGGCTCGTGATGCCAGGGTCTTGGCTAGTGATGCTTGTTGTCCTATTTGGCAAAGTGTCCTAACATTAAGGGCTCCTATATGAAATTGGTGGCGCTGCTTTAAGAGACTGTCGGTGGTGGTCTTTTGGCTTCCATAGTTTTTAGTGGACGCAGAGTGGAGAGCTATCAAGTCGAGGAGTTGCATCAGTGGAAGGAAGGCAAGATGATAGAGATGAAGACGAAGACAAAGATGAGTGAGTAATAGAGAGGTTTCGCGTGCGTTTCGGATTGTGAGGGCGATTGTTACTTCCCGGCTGCCCACACCGTGGAAGTTGGTTGCGTGACCGCAGAGCCCAGGGGACAACTGCTTGAGGCCGGTCACACGCGGCCTGTTTTTGTTCGTTCTTTTTTGTTTGGATCTTTTGTTTGAATCGAAGAGAGATTTCTACAAAGAGTAGAGATCGTTTTGGGCTCTTCTGTTACAAACATGTACTGTGAATGTCATCCCAGTAGCTTCCATGCCAATCGCTTTTCTCCGTTGTTCGAAACGGGTGGAAAACCGAAGGGGTGTAAGAGAGATAGTTCTCTTCCACTGTTGTATCACGACCACCTGAATGTGGCCCAAAAGGTCTTACGACTCATTTAAACATATGCGGTTTCTTAAATCATTTCTCAGACTAATCACAGATTGAATAAATACCATAGACGCTAAAGAGTTTTTGGAAGCCTGGTATTCAACTGAGTCAGCAACTGACATCGACAAGATTTACCAATCCATAGGGAAGAAATCTCATGCACAAAAAAATTAAACTTCAGTTCAAGGAAACAATCAGCAGGAATACAAATAGACTAGAAGATGTGAAAACACACAAAGGCAACTAATCACGACATTCAAGCTAAACTCGTGGAGGAATTTAAAAGCTCTCTTCAAATTGAAGCATGTTTTGAAGATCTTGTCTAGTAAGACAAGAAAATCTTAGCAGCTAAACCATCCAGCTCAGAGAACACATTTAACACCAAAAGCACCTACTTGGGCAACAAATCTTCTCCAAATTATACCTGTTATATTCTTAAGGCACAAAAAAAATTATTGCGACATTTGGACGATCAACGACCGCCTACACAGTTAAAACCCGATATTGACTTCATGATCTGAAATAATCTGTCGGCCTCTTCACTGTCTACCTTCTTCTATTTAATTCTGAATAAGTTCACTAATCGAAGTATGAGTAATACAACAGATCTTGAAGATACACAAAATCATCGATTTCTTTACTTCTTCTTCCTAACATCCTGCGTTTGGCATGAGCACAACTCAGTTAACTGTTCCATCCACCAGAAGTAATAACTGCCATGAATGAACATGCCTACAACTGGAGCATACAATATTTTCCTAATAGCTTTAAAAACAGTAAAATTGTAAGTTGTCTGAGATGAATAACCATTTGCGTTCCGATTGGAATATAGGACATCTGGTCTCAGGCTTAAAAGTTTCAGCAGCAATGATGTTGTTTTAGTGGGGCGAGATTGCTAGCTACACGCCCAACCTTCCGCTTTGATGGGCTAACTATAGGCTGGGAGACATTTAAGAGTGAGACAACTGGGAGTCGAACACGGAACATTTATAGGGCTGGCGAGTACTGTGCCAGTGCCTCTGAGGTCAAAGGTAATAGAAATTAGCGAATAATAAGTAAACCAGCCATCTACATGATTCATGAGGTCCCATCAGCAACCTTTTCATTAGGGTTGTTGTGACTTTTAAAATAAGTGTGAAGCTCACAGCATTTACGACGACCACATCATCTGCAACACATTCAGAATGGAAATTAATCCATACTAGTTATATATTACTGTCGTAAAATTAGGTAGGATTGAAGTGAAGCAAACTAGCCACTCAAATATTTCATCCCAGGCAAACTCCATAAATTTTACCTATAACAGTACTATGCCATCAGTGGAGTTTTAATTGAACCAGCCTTCTCTCCTGAGCGTGAATTCAATCTCTATGAAGTTCGATGTAGACAGAGCTACATCCCATCACCACATGTGTAATAAGATTACAAAGTGAGAGAGTCTGACAGTCCAATAACACAAAGATGACATCAATATAGCCAAGGCATTTACTTACCAACTGAAATAAGCACACGTCTTGTAGTGGAAATCTTCTTCAAATACTTGATTTTCGTCCATTCGGGCAAATTCATCTGCGCCACTTTCATCATTATCACCTGTACGGGTAATCTGTTCATCTTCATTAAGGCAGGATAATCCCGCTGATGCTTCAATAGAGTTCCGTGTATAATTACCATGAGTTTTGATGACTGATTCACTGTAGTAATTATAGCGGGTTGATGTAATCTGTCCACACTTTGCATAATAATTATAATTCTCATGATTGCATACACGTTGATCATTTTTCTGTTCATCACTCACACCTTCATTCAATCGTCTTTTACCACCGACTGACGGCATGGTGAGCATGGTTCTATATGTTACAGGTGAACCGTAGTTGAATGGATGCATTTTCGGAAAGAGCGTATAATTCTTATGTCGCATGAAATTTATACGCTATGAAAGAGATAATAGACGGAAAATACAGAAACAAACAATATACACTTATAGAACATGTATAAAGAAAAAATAAATTTATCGTATTATATAATAACAAGAGTATTGAGTGAGAACAACTGGAATGCAAACATCAAAGTGAACAAATGACTAGATCAATCGTTAGACAGGAAGACAATCCTTTGAAGACACTGAATCATTCTTAACTCCGAGAAATAGTTCAGCGGACTTGAGTACATGACTTTCACTGAAACTGAGCACTTGACACTTATTACACAATAAGTGTGACGGATAGCCTAACACATGTAAAGAATCTCTACCAGATAACCAAGTTCAGTGACACAAGGAGGAAGTCTTGTAAACATTTTGAGTAGCTACCCAAAACTCTTTATCAGTGTCTTACAGAATGAAACTAATGTACGTGAATTGCACATGCTTCCAGAAGTACCTTAACTCTGCAAATAGAGATAGTCATGGGACTATAACAAATCGAATGTAAGTGTAGAACTTGGGCACTGTGTGGCAGAATGTAATTCCATACATTAGATAAGTTCACTTTCAATATCTCACAGTGATGATGATGCAGTATTAACAACTGGATGACGTTTACAGTAACTTTCCACATCTTCGATATACGCGTTGCATCACTTCTACTGCACGTATGCGGTGTTGAATCAATAAACAAAGATTCAGTGGTTAATCACTCTCCGTCTCTCCCTCGCTCTCTCTCCACATAACTATATCACTTTTTATTACTTTCACACAGTCCCACTCACCCTATTTTGTGATTACATAATAATAATAATAACATGCAAGTGAATGCAATAATTAATCTGCTTGAGTCAACTATTCTACCTCCAACTAAATTTCTATCTTCAGATAGTCTAATTCACATTGATCTAGTGGTTTGACTGACCTATGCAACTGACCTCACAGCTATTACATCTTATTTAGTAAATTATGCTATTTACCTTAATTGCATCTCTTGGGTCCGTAAGCCAACAAAGTTTATCTCTGAGACAGTTGGTTGATTGGGTGGTTTCAATGCAACTCTAATTCCAGCCACATTAAGAATCCTACATAGGACCACTTATAATCCTTCTCTATACGACAGTACTAAAAAAGCTATGATGTTCAGATTATTTTTGTTATTTTCATTATTAATTCAGGCTTTTTAGGATTCTTCATACACTTCGGAATAAATTCAGGTGGGTAGTGTGTTATTCACTAGTAATATTTACTTATATCATGAGCAGACATTTGTTAGAGAACCATTGGGAAACCTACATGGAGTACTGGGCAGCTGTTTCGTCCCTCCTAGTTTGGAACTTTTCACCAGTACGCACCCACCGGGATTCGAACCCAGGACCTTCTGGTTACAAGGCGAGCTAGCTCGTATACCATTAAGCCACTGGGACCTAATCCAATGTCAGCTCATGATGAAATCCTGTAAACAATCAAATCCCTACAACCCAACACTTGAATATCAATGAGATGCTCACTAGCGACTGGCCTTATTCAGGTAGTTAGTTACCTGGGGTTCTAGTGAGAAGTCGTGGCCAGTAGGGGGCTGCAGCGTGTCGGGTGTGAGGACAAATACACGCCGAAGACGTTGGCTTGGATCGCGCTATGTCGTGAATTGTCAGAAGTTAGAATTTGTGGGCTATTGGATTGGTTCTCAGTGGCTTAATGGTATACGAGCCAGCTCGCCTTGTAACCAGAAGTACCTGGGTTCGAATCCCGGCATTGGGTGCGTACTGGTGAAGAGTCACAAACTAGGACGAAACAGCTGTTCAGTACTCCCAGGTTTTCTAATGGTGTGGTGAGAGCAGGCTGCTAGCCGATTGGTTGGCACTAATCTACGTTAAGGTCTAGGTCACTAATATGGGCCGTGAGAAAATATGAACAAGCCTGAGTCAACAACCAATCACAGCAAAGTTAACGTGGCAAAATATGATTCGCAGAGAGAACTCTATTTGTCAAGGAATCCCGAAACAACCAATCAGAAGCCTGCGTTTGTCTACCTAAACAACCAATCAGATGACTGCGCTTGTCTATAATAATGTAGTTGAAAGATGTATAAATACGTGTTGATTTTCATAATAAAACGATCTGTTGCCTGGCCCTTGTCTTCTGTTGTTACATTTGGTGTCGCTGCCTACCGACAAATGAAAAGCCTATACCCTGCAGTTTTTGATGGAGACATATGGATCTTCGGGCAGGACTTCAAGGCTTTTGCGCAGTTGAGTGGCGTTCAAGATCTGTCAGCGATGGAGCTGCTACTTGGGGCGCTGCTGGGAGGTCGGGTGAAAGCAGCATATGAAAGTGTGAGCCGAAGTATGGACGAATGTTCGACAGGGTCAGGCAAACAGTTTCCAAAGTGGGAAGGACCATATATGGTCACTTCGAGATGGGGTTACGCAGACACAGTCGCAATGGCGAACAATAAGAGGCGCGTGAACGTCAGCGAGCTCCAGAAACGGATACAGCGAGACAAGCCAACGATGACGCCTGCACCAAGTAGATCAAGCCGACTTCAGTCGCACGTATTTGACGGGGGGACGAGTGTGGTGAGAGCAGGCTGCTAGCCGATTGGTTGGCACTAATCTACGTTAAGGTCTAGGTCACTAATATGGGCCGTGAGAAAATATGAACAAGCCTGAGTCAACAACCAATCACAGCAAAGTTAACGAGGCAAAATATGATTCGCAGAGAGAACTCTATTTGTCAAGGAATCCCGAAACAACCAATCAGAAGCCTGCGTTTGTCTACCTAAACAACCAATCAGATGACTGCGCTTGTCTATAATAATGTAGTTGAAAGATGTATAAATACGTGTTGATTTTCATAATAAAACGATCTGTTGCCTGGCCCTTGTCTTCTGTTGTTACAATGGTTCTCTAATTGATGTCAGCTCATGATGAAATCCTGTAACCAATCAACCAAATCTCTACAAACCAATACTTGAATATGTCTTATGCAACGGATATCAGCAGGAAAACTACAATTCACTTGGAATGTTTGTACATTCGCCTGACAAGGCCCAGAAATTCACGTCTTGGATTCCATTGGTAGCCACCGGCAACCAAGCCATCTGACTGCTTGACTGTTAATATTTTAGGTATAATACTGATGGAAATGCAAAGCTTAATTAATCTGAATAGTGTAAATATGAAGAATTTACAATCACCCAGTATGCATGCATTTACACAGTCCACCCAGTTAATGAAAAAACAGTAGTTACAATAACGTTAAATTGGGGACAAGAAAAGTCAAAGGAGCATATATATAAGTGAAGGGGCATCTTAGTCAACAGGGAAATAAGTCCATGAATTATTTATCGTTATAATACATCATACAATAATTGTATTTGAGAATTTATTATACACTTCTCTCTTATATGGACAGAGGAAAAAGAAAGAATAGTAGTCATAATAGTAAATATTTATCCTGTTACACCCTTTCTGGAATGCCTTCAGCCCAGTTACAGTTAAGTTTAAAAAAAGGGGAAACAATTCAATCCGTTTTATTTGTCACACTTAAATGATAATGGTCATTTAATGGCAAATGAAAACCAAGGCATTCAATGTGAGATTCATCGAATCTCTTAGAACATGTAGAAGACAAGGGTAATGAGCACAGTCAACCAAGCAACTAACAAAACAAGAACAACAGAAAGAATCACCAATCACTGTCAATGGAAGAAATTTACAAAAAGTGATCACTTCCTTGACTTATCTGGCCAGGAGGCATCCTTCCATCTACAGATAACAGCACGGATGAGGATATCGAAGCAAGAATCGGAAAGACAAGACAGACCTTCATCACAGTGAAACCAGTTTGGAGATATTCTGCACTCACCATAAAGGACATAATCCGTAATTTCAACACCAATTTTAAGTCAGTCAATTCTTCTATACCGGTAGGAAACTTCAACGGTGCATCACGAACGGCATTCCTAACAGGTTGCAGACTTTTATCAACAGCTGCCTCTTTTGCTAGCTCCATACTGAAGATCACATGACCGATCGGAAAGAATTATCAACAAGAAACGCTGGGAATTAACTTACAAAAACCTACCGCTCAATAAATATGGCTGAAGAAAATGAAGATGGATTGGGCACACACTGAGAAGTCAGTTAAATGACATCACCTGCTAGACCATTCCTAGAGTGCAGGCCGAATGGGAAACAATGAGTTGGGCGTGAGTGCGAGGTGACATAGAGGAGACTGTGTGAAAAAGAAGGTAAGAGGTCATTGGTTATCATGTGGCTAGCTGAGGAGGGCAACGTGAAGATGTGCTGTTGAAGGCCAATGTTCCACTCGGAAACCAAATGAACAATAACAATAATATAATGCATTCAAAAGAAGTCTCCTGGACAACTGAGACCTAACTAAATGATGACGTAAACACCACCACCCTTTACGTATATTCTCAAACCCTCTGTTATCATAATCCTTTAATCCTATCACATTCTCATTAAAATACAGTTTATTTACTTCCTTTACAATTTAGCCCTACTCAATCAGTTCATCTGTTTCTCTTAGTCTTTATCGACTTATTACGCTTAAAAATTACAGCAACAAAGTGATGTTTGAACTGTTGATCGGTGGTCTGTCAGCTGAAAATCAAGTCTTCTATAATGTTTCATTTCCCTGGGTTCTGACTGAGTCACTGCGCTTCAAACTCTGAAGCTTCAATTGAGACGGTGCTGTTTTCATTGGCTGATAGCTTCCCGCTCAACCCTTTCTCTTTTCTGAGCTTAATACATAGAGACAATAAACTAGACAATGTTCAGAGAGTCTATCAGAATCTAATCCGGACAACTTATATGGTAGGCGAACATGGCACTGTTGAAACACCGATGTGCAGGCTGTTAAACTTATAGACTTCAACAGAACATTTTTCGGTAATACTGAGACTTCATGGGTGACAGAAAACGCATAAAGATGGCTACCTCTGTGTCCGAGTAGTGTCCCAATATCTGGATCTCCTAATCATCCATTTGCAGGTTTACACTT